GTTCCCTGCCCTTTCCCTATGGTAAACTCGTTGGATCTCCCAAGCCTCAGCATCGTTGTTCTACTGCTGATGTTCAGGTCACCTCTATTTGCCCACCTCTGACTATTTAGCCAAGGTGAATGCTGAGACTTTTAGTTGAGTGTTTTTCAGCCAGAAAATCTCACTAAGGTAAACTTATGAACTACTTGTGCTGCCCTTTTCTGGTTTCTTGACATCTGCTTTGTCTCACTCCCAGATTTTTAGATGACTAGCCTTGGTTGTGGTAAGTCGGTCTTGTCAATGTTAATTAAAATGCCCAGATTTGTGGAACGATTAAGCATAGGAGTCACAGACATTTTCCTGTCATTTTTTAATAACTATGAACAAAAACTGAGCACAGCTTGAAACCAACTGTGTTGCATCAAAATGTTATTTCCAGACTGAAGCTCCAGATTAAAGAAAAAGGACAAGAGGGTCCTTTGCAATGGGTAGCTTCCTTGTGATGTTCCTTTGATGCTCCCTCCTTTCAGTCTTGGATAGTTTCAGTCTCTTTTCACATTTTCTAGGGGAAAAAAAATGATCATTAGGATCTCTTTATTTGTCTCCTTGTCTCCTTTTCCACATTTAGAGTCTATAGCTATGGCTTGCACCTTTCTGTCCAATATGGTTTAGGCCTTGCAAGCTTTTTCCTTTATGGCCTTCCAAAGGAAATGGCTTCTCTTCATGATAAACTTTTCCAGAGACAGGCACGCACCTTGGTAGCTGTGAACACATAAAGACCTAGGAATGTTTCAGCCCAGTTTTAGAGTAGGCTTTTGCTACCAGGGTTTAAGTATATCCTTTCGCTTGGTTATGTAGACCACCAGAGGCCTGGTTGATATTTTTTGCGGGTGTACTGGAAAGCAGAAAGGGTATTTGGCCGCAATGTAGAGGACTCCTCTGGTACAAGTCCCTGCTGTGAAATCCAGCTCGTGTGTGGAAAGCTGTAGCGTGGCTGGCTTGGCAGGATCCGTTTTGCCCCGTAAAGGTCAGTGCCCCTCGAGCGAGTGTGTCTGAAGTAATAAAGTTGTTCTTGCTGCTCATGGCGCTCCGACTCAGTGCCCATAAAGATGCCTTGGGCAGCGGGTGAGGGAACTGGTGACGTGCGGCCAAAGCCCGCGCTGAAGGTGGTGGTGTGTGGCGACCTGCTCGTAAAAGCCCTTCAGGAGCTTTCTACAAACCCTGACAAAACTGCCTCCCCGTGTGTGGCTTGTGTGTCCCCCCTCCTCCTTCCTCTCCCCTGTTCTGCATCGCCTTGGGTGAAACAGTTACCTCAGCCCTGTGCTGAGAACAAACACTTCACAGGGCAGGTTTCCTCTGAGGAACATTCTTGCCCCTTGTATCATCAGGACATGCCTCTGCTCAGAGGGAAGGAGGAGCTCTTCCTCCACTGACAGCGCTCATCCTCGTGTGCCGAATCCATCCCAGCCTGGCCCTTCCTGGTGCAGTGCAGCGGATGCCAGAAACGCTCCTCCGTGATTGACCTTCTCCTCACGCTCCCCTTGCTGTTCCTCTTCACAGGGTTCCCCACCATTGAGGTGTCACGGCAGCCTGTCCTCCTCCTGCAGACAACGCTGTGGATGTCACTGCCCTCAGTGTCTTTCTCTGTTCCGTGAGCCATCATGTCTAGCTGCTCTCCCTTTCCTTCCCCATGTGCTGTGTGGCTGCTGTAGCCATCTTATATGTTACTGTGTCTGTAGAGACACTGGCTTGTTCTGAACATTCCCATTCCCTCCTGTCTTGGAGGTCTTGGAGAGAGGTTCATGTGGTCTTTCTGGGCCACATGGAGTATTTTTATCTTGGGAAGACCTGCACTAGGTGTGGGGTTTTTTGTTTGTTTTTCTGGTGTTTTTGCCTTTGTTTCCTTCCTGCGAGCAGCTGGGCCTTGCTGGCACAGGGAAGGCAGAGCAGACAGATACGTAAGGGCAGCTGCGCCGTTACCAGCTCCAGCAGCAGCCCTTTGGCTTTGTCGGAGCTGCCTTGGTTTGAGCAAACTGGCAGGGGATCAGCACCCCGGGCAGGCGGGTTGCTTCTTTCCTCCCGGCAAGCAGAAAGCTGTAAGGATTGTGTCAGAAATGCATTAAATCCTACTGGGAATGAGTTGACTGGCTATTAAAGAAGGAAAAACTGTTACTCATGCAAGTTCTGTGGATGCCTTTCTCTGCAGGGTGAGCCCGAGTGCCACCTGGAGCAGGTGACCAGGGTGATGCTGTTGGGGGTCTCTTCAGTGTCATGGTTTTGGGGGGTGAAGATGCCCTCTGAGGTGACTGGGAGACTGAGTTTTAAGTTGAGGAGAGTCACTGGAAGGTTTTAGATGCCTGGGCATCATAAAGAAGATGCAGGAGCTGTATAGTTAATTGACAGCAAGAGAAAGTCACTGGTATCCACTCTTCTTGCCTGTGACCTCCTCAGTGATCTGGGCAGCTGGACCTTGATCCAGAGAGAGGGCCAACAATTCATGGCAGCAGCAGAGATGTCTGTCAGCTGCTTTGATCTGATCTGCTTCAGAAGAGGCTTCTTGCACAGGGGGAGGCTCAGGGGAGACCTTACTGCTCCCTACAACTACCTGAAAGGAGGTTGTAGTGAGGTGGGGTCAGCCTCTTCTCCAGAAAAACTGCCGGTGGGACAAGAGGAAATGGCCTGAAGTTGCACCAGGGAGGTTAGACAGTAGGAAGAATTTCACAGAAAGGAGTAGTCAAGCCTTGGAACAGCTGCCCAGGAGCCACTGTCTCTGGCAGCGTTCAAGAAATGTGTAGATGGGGCACTTAGGGATATGGTTTAGCAGGCATGGTGGTGAAGGGCTTATGGTAGGACTTGATCTTGAAGGTCTTTTCCAGCCATTATGATTCTATGGTCATTTCCTATAGTTAACTATGTTGTAGCACTGTTTCTCTTCTGGAGCCCACTAAATTTAACAAGAGCTGCTCATGAAATCCTCGTGTTTGTGTGAGTTTTATCCCTCACTAGCAGCAACTCAGCAATATGTGACTCGGAGACCATGCCTCTCCTCCAAAGCAGTGTTAGGTTTGTGGGAGAGCAGCACTGCTAGTGTCTTTTCTGTGGTGAACATGGTGTAAGAGGCTTCTCCAGGACTTTCATAAGCTGCAGTTTCTCCTCAGTGACGACAGAAGAGGAAAACAGCCATCTTCAGCTGGTTTCAGTTAGAGGCAGTGCCTCCTTGAGAGGCAGGAGGCAGCTGGGGGCTCTTTGGGTATTGTAGAGTAGTGTGTGTTTGAGAAAACTGTCCCCAGGCTGGTGTGCGCTCCTAAGCACTAAACTTAAACTAAACTAAGCACTAAACTAATCTGAGTTTCCAGTGGCTTCAGTATTTTGTTCTGCCAGTACTAGGGGAGGAAGAAATCCCTTTGCCTGAGCCTGGGAGAGAATTACAGGGCTGCTTGTTCTCTCAGTCAGCACTTGGTCTGTGACTTGAGAGCCTAGTTCTGTCCCAAGAGCTATTTTTTCATGTGCAATTGCCTGTAGAAAGTTGTTTTTTTTCTGACTTTTCACCCATGTTCCTATCCCTTTTGTTGCTTGTGCTGGTTCTTTGTGAACCCTCATGCAGTTTATATACACAAAAAGGTCCATTTAGTACCCCTTCCTTTCTTCTCTTAAACACATGGGTGAGCTCTAAGCTATTTTTAAATTCTAGGCTTTCTGCAGCCTAAGGGCATTAAGTTTTCTCCATTTAAACTTGAGGGGAAAATAAGAGTTGGTCTGTATCAAACAGCAGTGAAATAAGTCCCTAAAATAATCACAGAAGTCCATTCAGATATTGTTTTTTTCAATTTATTTATATAAACAATTCCATTTTAAAAACTCTTTTTCTACAAAAATAGTGGGAAAAACACAATTCCACACAATTTTCAATAAATAATCTCAGACATACACATTTATCGTAAGCATCTTGAATCCAGCCTAACCCAGCGGGTTGGGAAACAGGTAAGTGCAGATAAGACTGCTAAAAGGTAGTTGCAAAGTACAAAATGAACAGGATTCATTTCCTGAATTCCAGGCATATCCTGAAGCAGCAGGGCCTTAAACCTTGTTAATTCATTTTTATCTCCCCCCCAAAGTAATTAATCTGTCTAAAGTTGTCTCCTTTTGCATTTAAGGCAAACATTTTTCCTAGGTGGTGGTAAAAGGCTGCTCTGCAGAAGTATATTCCAAAGACAGCAGGACAGGAGCTCAGTGACAACAAAGTATTTAACAAAGGAGCAAATGATTTTCATTTACTAACATGTACAGTGCTGACTGCTTCTAAGTAGAAAGTGACTGAAACTTGTTATCTTAATGTCTTCAATAGCAAACTAAAATATTCCTCCTACACGCAAATTATCTATCAGAAAAAAATATCTCCAATCAGACACTCCTATTGATTATTGCAGGACACCTTAATTCAGTTATTTGCAGTAAGGATGACAAACTTGCCCTGGGGAAGGTAGTTGATGTCTTTAAACAAGCTGACAAGGACACAGAAGCCACAGTCAAACCATACTTGTACCATAGGCTGTGTTATGCAGTGCCAAGACTCAAAGAGGCTGGAGAAACTGAGCTGTAGTAGGAGCTTAAAGTGCTTTTTGCAAGCACTTCCTTGGCAGAAAATACCGTGGTACCTCTCTATGTCAGTCTGGGGTGACATTCTTTCTCTTAGCTGCAGCTCCTTAGCTGTTTTGGGGGGAAGTTTTTCTGCATTTTCCCTCCAGAAGTTACAGCAAAGACATAAGCACCCTTCCCTGCAAGTTCTGAAGTATTGTTTTTAAAAAAGAAAAAAAAGTGCCCAGGTAAAACTAGAAATTTCAGTGCTGGATCAGGACAAATATATCTAGAGTCTCTTAATATTAAAAAAAAAGCCAGTTCAAAATATTTAAAATACAATATACTTATAAGTTACAAACAGGGTATTATTTCCCCCTCCCACCCCCAAATAAATAAAACTAAGGCACAACTATGGCTTTTGTACATAGCCCTAAACTAACTTCAAGTTTTGCCCCTATGAAACTGTCAGATCAGTCCAGGATTCATTTTTGCTGGGGATGCTTCCACAGCTTCCCAGTTCTTCTAATCCAGATGATTTCAATGGTGTTTTTAGGATACAAACAGTAAAGCCAGAATAACTAACCTCTAAATATCTGGTGACTAAATAATAGTCACGTCCTTAACTAGAACTACACTGTCTGCTTGTCCTTAAAGTGACAAAGATTAAAGTTACAATATCAAGTAGGCCAGAGAATTACAGCTATGGAAAGAGCACTAATGCTCCCAAATTTACGAGCTCCCCCGCCTTGCAAAATAAAACATCTCTATCAAAGTCGAAGCAGCCTGAGGATCAGTAATTTCTACCTCAGAACCAGCAGAATCGTCTCTAGCACAAATAATACTTGTGGCTTTGAAGTACATGGCACAAGGTTAGGATGAAGAGTGAATTCTATTGTCTTTAAATAATAACTTAAAAAGTAATGCCACAGGAAAGCACAGGCATACACACACACGCGCACACACACACACACGATAAGTTACTGTACAAAGTGCCTTATCTGCAATGAGGGAGAGGTAGTATCCATGAGGAAATGCAACTTCTTTTCTGAGTTTGCATTAAAAAGTACATATAAATCATACATTCATCTTAATTGCCAATGAAAACTGCTAAAGATTATCAACTGCAGTAACTCGAGTCCTTTTAGTTTGCCAGCCTCTTCTCAAGGCTGAGGCAGTAACTTGCTTGTGTAGTGTTGTGACTTACCAAGGGAAAGTACAACAACAAACAAATGCCCTTTTTGTCAAGTAAGAAAGCAGTGTGTATATATTAAAAAAAAAAAGGAACTTGTGTCCACTTTGGCATACATAGTTCTGTTACAGAAGAATTTAAACAAGGGATTTGCTACTGTTGAGCTCAGACATAGAAAAATCCCTTTTGTAAATGGAAGCCTTACCTGAGTAAGAAATCTAAGGCAAACTCCAAAGTGAAGACATATGAGTTCTTTTAAAAAATAGTAATAATAATAATTAAGACATAAATACAATAATTTAAATAAATAAATAGGTGGATACTTTATAACTCAGCCGATCGCTCTTTCAGTAGTAGTGTGGGGTTGATGTCTTCCATGGCCGTGTTCGAGGTGCTCACGTTGATGGTCGCCTCGGTGGGCTCGGGGCTTAGCACGTGGAAAGCTGTGAAGGGGCAGCCCTTCACGTTGTGGCAGATGAGCTTCTGGAGGGAGGCAGTATTGATGATTTCAAAGCCCACTTTTCCCCCAAAAGTGCTGGGCTTCCAGTACTCAGGGGAGCAGATGGTGTTGCCCATCAGTCCTTTCAGGGAGAAGGGTGCTCCGATTTCCACCATCGTTTCGCCGAAGATGGCACCAGGTCGGGGCTTCTCTACCAGCAGGCCTGGGTACAGCTCCATAGCGTCAATGTCTCCATAAAGCTCTTCCAGTTCTGCTGCCATTTCTTTCTCTCCTGTAATGCATCAGTAAAAACAGTAGGTAAGCTTGTTTTCCTCACAGCACTGTCTTGTAGCAGTTCACAAGCTGTGCTGCAGGCTTCTATGTGCCCTTTCTAAGGCAAAGGCATTTGTTTGGTAGCAAGAGTAAAAAAATATTACCTGTAAGTTCCTCAAATGATTTAAATGGTTTCAACATGAAGCGCTTCCTATACTCATTCAGGGACTGGTATCTCATTTGTCTGCTTTGGTCGATTGAAGCTTTTGCTACCTTCTGTACTGCAGCAGGAACGTTTTTCCCCCCAGCAACCTATTTAAAAGAGACAAAAGAAAGGTAAGATCTCCAGAGAGAGGTCTTGAGGAATTTGTGCGTTTATATAATCTTACTAGCTTTTAAATAGCTTTATGTCTTGTCACTTGGAAACAAAATGCTTACCCGGCCAGCCCTCTGCTTGGAGAAAGACTTCACCATGTGGGAAAGGCCGTGTTCCAGCATTATGGAGTTGTTGTAGAGGAACTGCTGGAACGTGTATTCCTGGTTGTGTATCTGGAAGGTGTCTGGCAGGAGTGGGTGCCAGTGGTACAGAGTGTTGAATTCGGCCGCAATGCGGTTCTGGTACTGAAAACGCTGGTTGAACAACAGCTCCGGATCAAACTTCAGTTTGAAGTGGTAGCCGCTCAGGTGCTGCACGTAGTCTTCAATAACAATCTTGATAGTTTCTCCTGTTGGTTATGGGAAAAGAATATTGGTACCGTTCTCCAGAAAAGTTCCAGGTAGCTATCCTGCTCTGAGGGGAACTACTATTTCTATGCTGTTCTAAAAAAATATTTACTGAATGTTCAGGAATATTGTTATCTCTTAGAGAAGCTTAGTCACAGAAAGGGTTGGCTGTGGTAAGGGAGTATGCTCTCCCTCCAGTTTTTCCTCCAGAGATACCTATGTGTATTCTGACTTCTATGGAAGTCTATCTGCACTATCTTCAGTTGCATGGAATGAGCTAAGGTGGAGGTAGGCTAGAACTGGAAGGAGCTGGTATCTAGAAGCAGACTTCAGCTTCTCAGCAGCTTAACGTGACTGCCTTGCCCTGATTTACTGTTTCAGGCACACTTTGGACAGAGCTATTTCCTAACTTAATGTGCATCAACATTATATGAAATAGCCCTGGACAGCATTGTACAAATGCAGCATGAAGAGTTTTCACATAACTTCCTGGACCTGGAGATTTAATCAGTCTTTCTCTCAAGCTCTACCTGAACTGACCCAACCCCAGAAAGAACAAGACCTGACAGCTTGGGAGCAGCTGAGGTTATATGGCCTCATATGCTTTCTGCCTGAAAACTAAACCTTAGCTTCCTGCTGTTTCATTGTTTTCAGTCCTGTTTCCTTTAGATAAGGGTAACTTAAAAAGGTAGATAACTCAATTTTCTTCAGTTTTGTATGTAGCAGGAGCAAATTATATCTTAATTGTAGTCCAGACACAGGTTATGAAAACTCAGATGTATGTCCTCAGATGTGGATTTAAGTAATGTTTCTTCTCTTACTAAGTCTATTGGGGCCGCCCCTGGGCGGCAGCGTCACACTGGACAAGCTAACGTAGTGGGAGAGAGACACTCACCTATCAATATGAGCCTGGCAGTCTGGAAGAGTCGCTCGTCATCCCACTCGGGATGCTCCCGTTTGAGGATGTCGCAGACTCGATTGTGTTCTCTGAGCCATATTGTAGCATACATCATTAAACCTGGCACCAAACCGAACACCTCCTGCCCGACAGAGAACCGCAGGTGCTCAGGAACGTGAGGAGGGTAGAGCATTTCTGCCTGGGTGTCCTTCACCGTGGGTGGATACATTTCCCCATCAATCATCTGGGGTGGGAGGCAAGGAGAGCGGAGAACAAGGAGTCATTAGCTGTGATGCAGGAGTTAAATTGTATCAAGTCTGTCAAGTACTTTGCCTGACTCTGGATTATATGTAAAGATTAATTACACTGTGAACACAATATAATATATAATGTCATCCAATGGGAAGGTGGGGATTTGTTTCCTTCCCCCTCCCCGTTCCCCCAAGAAAAGCAAACACCCCCACATACCTGGTATTTTAGCTTTCCATCCTTAAGAAGTCTCAGTTTAAGTTGTCTCTCTAGAGTCTCTCCATAAATATGGTTCAGGTCAACCTATAAAACAAAAGTATTTAGAAAGTGAAGTCAAGCTGTGTTTTTTTGATATTTTAGGATAAATCTGCTAGCCTGGAAGCCTTAGATGTCTACTATTAATTATATTAAATTATAGGTATCTTATAAGAATTATGTATTGATGAATTGTTTCTTAGAAAGTGCAGCAAACTCTGCAAACTGGTGAGTTTTGAAATTGCCAATCAATTTAAAAGGATTCCTTAAATGTCAGCAGCTTTTATTGTGTAGACAGCTCTGTCTAAAGCAGATAGACATAAGCAGTATATATACACACACTACACTTAGACTGAAGAAAAATCTTTGTGCAAAGACTGTCCACTCTGGAGATAATCTCTTAAATTAGTGTTTGCTGCTACTGCAGTTCTTAAGTCTCTTCAATTAGCAATGTATGACAAGATATTTTATAGTGCTATATACAGCTCTTTGCAATGGACAGAAGCAGTCCAATAGAGTAGGTCTGGATACTCATCAAATGCCACATGCTTTATGTTAAAGTAAGCCTTGGAAAAAAATTGTACAGATCTGTTTATAGAGTTTAAGCAGAATGATTTGTGCTTTGCATGTGCAGCTCTACCCAGTAGGGAATGCTATGGAGATGCTGGAATTTTGCCTGATGTTGCCCAGTGCACGAGCTGGTGCTCGTGCCCCCTGACTACCTGTAAGATGCTATTTTAGTTCGGTGGCTGTTAAGTGCTGTGCTCAAGTTAGTGCTATGATCTTACCCCATGGCCGAGACCTTTCGTGAAGCCAGGTCCTTTTGTGTGATCTGTCTTAAAGAACTGATGAGTGAAGTGCTGAGCAAAGAACGTGAACATCACGTTTGTGCCTTGCGGGTCAGGAATAAACTTCTTCCGTAGCAAAAACTTCTCCACAATCAGCTTTGAATCTGGGAGCTCTTTCTTCCCTATAAAGAGAGAGAGAGAATGCACCAAGTTATTTATCTGCTGCTGGACACAGTTATTTGAAAACAGAACAAAACTGTCTTAGTTTTAATACCAAATCAATTCTGTTTAACAGGAAAATACAACAGAGAAGAAAAGAGATATTCAAGACAACTAATATAAGGGAAAAATAAAAAGGTAACTCATTTTCATTGTTAGTCATATACTTTTCTATGCTCACTTGATTTTTATAATAAATCTCCAAGTTAATCTGCTTTTATCGTGTAGCTCAATTATGAAATTGAGCAATTATCTCTTGCACCTCTGTTATGAAGATGTAAAAGATAACTGTTTTAGAGTATGCTTGGTTTTGGTGAGAATAGCAGCGTTCAAGCAAGGCTCTTAAAAGATTTTCAAGGCAAGCAGAGTCCTTGAAGTGAGCACTAGATGTGTCTGTTGTTCTCCTTACCTTTAACACCCATTGGTGTTGGGCAGTCAAGTCCCACAGGTGGCAGGCTCCTTGTGTAGTAGGAGAGATTGGAATATGCTTCCCAGCTTTTGTAGTTGTAGTCGCTGTTGTAAGTCGGGGGGCTATCGATCAAATGTGATCTTGCTGGAAGGAAAAATAACTTTGTTTTAGAACTATACATTTGCATCTTGCAGTGGGGAAAAAAAAGCTGCCTTTAGGCTTCTAAGATTATTTAGAAATCTTATAAAACATTTCACAGCAGTCACTGATATTAATTGCATTATTACTGAAATTAAATTACTAGATAACAAAAAGAGGACCAGAATTGTTAGATGCATCCAATTATGGCTCTGACAGGTTTCTGATGTTAATGTTGACAAAATCCTGGATGCTGCTAGGCTCAGGAGAGCCAAGGGCATTCCCATTTGGGAGCAGGCTTCCCACAAGCTGCAGCACTAAGGACAGGCCAAGCAAAGCTCATGGCTTTCGTGCGTGTCTTAGCTCGTTGCTTTACACTGAAGCTAATTATTAGGTGCTAGGGTCCCGGCACAAAGCCCCCATACTCACACGTGAGCACGTAGCGCATGATGGTGTCCCGCAGGAAGGGGATGTTGTTGATGATATTCCAGAGTGCCTTGAAGTGCGTGAGGATGTAGTGGACGGTGTTTGGCGTAGGCTTCAGCGACAGCTTCAGCCACGTGAAGAGCTCCGCTGCAGACGGGTGCAAAGAGGGGCTCGAGTTAGTCACAAAGCCCGGGGCGCCCGTCGCGTTGCAGCTCACGGGGTCTCTCCGTGCGGGCTACTTACGCGTGGTGCAGTTCTCGCCGTAAAAACCGGTCCGCGTGCAGTCGCACTCGTAGCGGTCGAGCCCCGTCGTCATGCACACCCCCCTGTTCTGGCAGGGGTTCGAGCAGCACGGGTTGCCTGCGCGGGAGGAGAATACACCGTTAAAACGGCGCTCAGCTAAGCTTGGGGGGGGGGGGGGGGTTTAAAGGGGGGGTGGCCCGGGCCCCCGGGGGGCTCGTCCCGGGTTGCCTTTCTCGTCGGGGGGGGGGGGGGGGAGGAGGGGAGGGGGGGGGGGGGGGGGGGGGGGGGGTCTAGAAAGGGGCTGGCCCTGCGCTACCGGAGGCTGCTACCAGGCTGACATCTGCTATGCAGGTGGCAGAGTGCAGGCAGACGGGGGAAATCCATGCAGTTCATGGAGAGGGAAGCAAACGCGACGCGAACGCCGTCCATCCCTGGCTGGAGCACCCCCCCCCGCGGCCGTTGCGCGGCCGTTGCGCGGCCGTTGCTCACCTGCTCGGGCGGCCGGCAGGAGCGCGGGCAGCAGCAGCAGCAGCAGCAGGGCGCGGGGCAGGCCCATGTCGCGTTGGGGACGCAGCGCCTCGGTCTCCGCACGGCTCGCGGCGCTCGCCGAGGCCGCAGTGGTGCCGCAGGTAGGCGCCGCCCGCCTATTTATGCGGCGCGCCGTGACTCAGCCTCCGGAAGCCGCCGCGCTCCGCCCCGCCGCCAGGGGCGCCCGGCGGGACCCGCGCGGCCGCGGCCACGAGCCGCCCGCCCCGCTGAGGGCAGCGGCTCGCGGCCGCGCCGGCACGCGGCGGGGCGCCCTTGGGGACGGGGGAGCGCCGCCGTTGGAAACGGCACCGCGCAGCCGTTGGAAACGGCACCGCGCAGCCGTTTGCCGCCTTGCGTGCCACGGAGCAAACCCCGAATCCCAGCAATACCACCTACTGTGCCACCTATGTGTTCTGCCTATGTACTCGTGGTCTGTGGCCATTCTGATAAAATAAGCCCCCATTTTGGAAGCCCCAATTTGCAACGGCCCGTGGCTCTTTTCCAGCGCTCCTGCTTTGAAATATTCCCCACTGCTGCGTGTAAACAAATCCTTGTAAACAAATCTGCTCATTTCCTTTCAGTACTGCACAGATTCAGGCCATCTGAGGATGCTTTATCTTTTTTTTTGTCATAGATCTGCAATCGTAGTCTAATTGTGTGCACTTCCCTACTATTTTTACCCCTTGTTGCGTGTGGAGGGTGAGTTATGAAACAGCCGGGGATGTTCTGGAGTGCGTAACCGCGGTGTAGGTGCAGCCGCAGCCCACACTTTCACCCTTGATGTCAGCAATTGTTATTTCAGGAAAAATAATCATTATTGGAGTTTCTGAGAGCCGACCCTGTCTGGGCTTCAATCTGGAATTTTACAAACGCTGCCGAAAGTCGCTCTGATCCAACCGAAGCAGAATCAGGATTTGGTAAGAGGAATAGTGTTCTGGCTCGTGATTAATCTGTATACATCAGTAGTAGGTCATCCGAGAGGCTTTGGAGCGTGGCGCAAGAAATTCCAGCATCGGATGATTCCTCCCAGCGTCGGCCGTCGCTTTGACCTCTGGCAGGGCGAGAGGCACGTGCATCTGCCGGGCACGTATGTGCCCATGGGGGTGTCTTGTAGGCACTCGGGGTGAAGTGCAGGGTGGTAGAAGCCCAAGGGGGGCCGCCGGGAGCCTGATCCCGCGGGACCCGTAACTTGCTGCCCCTTGGGGCTCTGTGAGTCCCTTAACTGGAGCCGTCCCCATGCGGCTGTAACGGGCTGGTCTTGCTCCCGTCTGCAAAACACGGGTCGTGTGCGATGCAGCACGCTGGAGAGCTTGTCTGCACATCCATGTAATGCCACGCTGCGCCTTCGTGGGCTTTCCCGTGTCCCACATGGACTGGATTATGTCCTGCAACGATCTTATTGATGCCATTACATAATGAGATTATGCTGAATGTGAGGCACAAAATACGTTTTTTTTTTTTTAAGGAGATGCTCTGAGAAATCCAGAGACAAAAAATAGCTCTAAGAGTGTTTCTGAAGCCAAAAGTGTAGAACTAACCTTACTGAGTGAATCAAAAAACTGAAATAGTTGCATGCTGTTAGAGATTTACCCCTGCAATGCTAACACAGCTGTGTTGCTCAGGGGTCTGGAGAGCCCTGGGGATTACGTTTCTGAGTTACTGTAGGTACCAAACGTGTAAAGAAGACAACAGAGCTTCAGTGCGAGCAGTTCTTGCAAGCAACACGTGTTGCAGCTGCGAAGGGACGTGTTCACCCTCCACGCTCCCCAGTGCTGGTGTAGGAGCAGTTGGGTGCAGCACGAGCTCCTCACGGTAATTTTCCAATGGGGAAGTTGCTCGTGTGCCGGATAGTTGCAGGGTAACAGCTGTGGGAGATGGTTCTTGGGCTGTTTTAGCCTCCTGTGGCAAGGCAGGGGAAACCAGGGAGCAGCTGTGTGGCTGTTTGAATGTGCATCACTGCAGCTTCCCCATGCATCAGCACTGAAGGGTTGTCCCTAATAGAGAACCGGGCATTATATTTGCCCGGGCATTTTTTTTTCCATCTCTGCTGTGGCAGGATTCGCCACCAGGTGGAGATTTGATGCACCAATAACAAGGGGTAAGTTGAATTTATCATTACCCTGACACCTATTGCCAAAGGCAATTTTTTAGGGAAGTCTTGGAGGAAGACAGTGATCCGTAACAGTTAGATTGCTCCAGAAATGCCCCAGAAAAACAAGTAGCATTTCCCTTGGCATCAAGGGAGATCCTGCTAACCTGTCCTATTGGTGCCATGTACAAACAAGTACGAAGTTTGTACAAACTCCGCCAAAATCTAAGGAAATTCTTCTTGTTATAATGATAAGGAATTTTCTGAGAGGGCATTTGCATGGGAGTTGGGTATTTTGAGAAGCAGGAACTTGAGCCAAGAGTGGACTTCCCTGCAAGGTGGCTACGCTGCCGGCACCAAGCATTGTTTTAAAGCAAGCCAAAGCTTTCAGCAGACTTACCCTCCCACCCAGGCATTTTCATTCATTTTATCTATAGCTATGCATCAATGAGGAAAAAAAAAAAAAAAAGATAAATTCCCTACTTCTGTCTGGCAATATTTGTACCCTTAAAGCTGAAATTCTGCTCTGCAGTTCTGGCAGATTTCCTGATAACTGCATGTGAAAGTTAAGTCTTAATACTGGGTATTTTAAGAGAAACCTTGATTTCCCTCTGCCACTCAGTAACCCCCAAAGTGACCTATTTTCAATAGCTGGCTTTAAGAAGCAAAAAGTGGCTGAGTAAACTTTGAAACTGTCCTCTTGTCTCACTAAATATTACTGCCTGCTTCTGTTGGCTGTTTGTTTCTTATTTTATGGCATGATAAATGATGCTAGACAACCAGTTTTTCTTACAGTTTAAGTGATACCGTATTTTAAGAATAAGCTCTGTTGTAAGCTCCACTTACAATGCAAGTCACATGAAATTCATTCAGAATTCAGAAATTTAGGATGTCATTAAAGCCTGTTAAACAAAAGGCAGAAAAAAAAAATCCATTAACTAAAAGCAGCTCCAATACAAAAAATAATTAATTTGAAACTTTTTGTTCCTCTGAAATTTCAAATTGTGGCTATCTAGAAAGGAACTGAACAAATACTAGAGCAACCCAATTATACTGTACTCTTAAAAATAATTTTTTTTAAAAAAAGTCATCTTTTGGGAATGGAAACGATTTCCAGGGATTTCACACGGAGTTGGATATTGTGTTTATTAGAAAATGAACTGAGTGAAAAGTGAGATGAATTAGGGTTTATAAATTTGCAGGGAAAAATGGTAGAAGTGCTAGGTTTCATCGTATTGCCACTTTATAATCCTGTTAGTCCCTAAAATTAGTTTAAAAATCAGATGTTAAAAATATCTTTTTAAAGCTTTTTCTTTATCTGCTGTTTTCCATATTTTCCCTATTTTCATGCAGTCCTGGAAGTTAAAGCTTATAATGAGTGCGTGGGTTTATTGCTCTGTCGCATTGTAGCGGTGCACAGTGAGCGAAAGGAGTGTGTTGGGAGCCTTAAAGAACACGTGGGAAGTTGTTTGCAGAAACCTGCTGTTCCCAGCAGAAAAGGGCTTCTCCCCTTACGGACGAGCTGCTTTCAGCCCGTGCTTTAGCACTAGAGGAAACAGCACAAATTGCTCTCTGGAGACCACGATGCTTTTGACCGACATCTGCTGCGTTTTGAGCGTGTGAAGGGTTAACGGGAAGGTTTTGCCCAAAGCTGCTGCTTCTGCATCTTCTGCATCAGGCTGCAATTGCTGTGGCATCCAGGGAGGCACTGATGGTCTCAAGGAAGCTGGTCATCTCCCCCCACAATGAAAAGCGATAAAAATAATAAAACAGCAAGTAGAAAATGCGACATATTTAGTGAGGTGTATTTGCCCCACTCATAATTCCAAATATCCTCATGAAAGCCTTGTCAGTTGAATGCTCATCACGAGCTCGGAGGTGTAACAAGCAATGCATCGATTGCAGCCACACAAATTGAAATAAGTGGTTTCCAGGGTATGGACAGAGGAACATGAGTCAGGTATTTACAGGTACTCTACCAAACAAAATGAAAGATTTTTTTTCTTTGTTTCTAATGAAATAGATCCTGTATGCTCTGTAAGTTACCCTAGAAATATATGTGTAAAGCCAAGAACTTATTACATCAGTTGGTACAGAAGAGTAAACAGTATTGAAATCAGTGGGGCTCTTTGCACTTAAACTCGAAGTCAGTTTATTCTTGAGCTGTTTTAATCTATTTCAAATGCTTTCCCTTCCATTGTGATTGTGGGAATCTCGTCATCATATTTAATAGCACAGTAATTTCCTGGCGAGTTAGCTGGTCTTATTTCCACAGTCTGTACTTTTCTGCTCTTTTATTGCAATTTTTTCGCAATACACTCCATCTCGAGTTTGCCCCCACAGAAAGCTTTTATGTTGTGTTTTATTCTAAGCAAAAATACGCTGTCCTAAGTTCCACTCTGAGGTCTGTGGCTATGAAGATAGAGCAGTTCTGCTGTGGTCTGAAAATGTTCCTCAAAAACTAAAGATTTTAGAGCAAAGTCAGCGTCTTAAAGCTTCTCAGGCTGCTTGTTCTGCTGGGTGATGTGAAACAGAAATGTTTCATTGAACTCCATGCTTCAGCAGGTGACTAGATGGGGATTTCTGGTTGTGTTCAGTGGAAATTGGTCAATGGAGCCTCGGCAAAAGTGGCTCCCAGAAATGTGTTTTGTTTTTCAGATTGAGTCTATTGGAGAATATTGTTTTATTCCTCGCGTGTAGACAAACTCAGTCTTGCCTGAGTAGTTCCTGAAAAACAAGCCTGAAGTGAGATCAGCAGGACAAACTTTTTCCAAGGAGTGTAGACAGGTGCAGCATGAAACATAACATTATGTTAAACGTGTATTATCCTCATCTCACCTACAGTTTGCAAGTTGACCTTGCAAACTTTATTGTGGCTGCTGTCCCATTTTTCTTATGTGGCAAGACTTTTAATCGCCTTTTACAATTGAATTTAAAGGAAAAGAAGGTAACCATAAGCTGCCATTCAAGAGCTGGATTTCCATACACAAGTTCTTTGGATTTATTTTTTTATTTGAAATAATTGATCAGATCCTTGTTTTTAATATGTTTGTTTGTGGAATTTTCTTCCTATTTGTACCAAATCTGTTACAATGAAAAATATTTTGTGCTTACTTGCACGGAGGAAAACCAGTTTTCTTTACTGGTAATGAGCTACTTAAACTGTGCAGAATCTCTGTTTTTCCTTTATGTGGCTTCAGTGGGCTCTGTATTTTCCTACCTAGACATTTGATCAATTAACTATGAAAAATACACCATGTGATTTTACAACCCCCTTACATAAAGAAGTAGCAGCTGACATTTTACCTGCTTTTTGTCTTCTCACAAAACAGCTGTAACTCACGTAAGGGCAAATACTTGCTTTATGTCATTTGTAATAAGCAAAAGGTTATCTTTCCATGGAAAACCTCCGCACAAAATCTGCCTGTAAAGAAAAGATTTGCAAATAATACCTTCCTCATTGCATATACTGGAATTCTCTTTTAACTGCTTCCGGCTTAACTTTTAGTAAATTCTTTCCTCCAGTCTCACGCTCCGGTCGTGCGGTGGGGAGCTCGTCTTTTGTAATGCAGCTGAATACCAAGCTTTGTAATTTTCCATCCCTTGCTGGCTCCCTGACATTAAACCATAGGAAAAGGAGGAGAAACGGAACAAAAGCTTAGGCTTTCTTGCACAGAAAGCATCTCGTAAGATGATAAGTTTATTTAGTTTTTATCAATAGCTTGTTTGGTTTTCCCAAAGTGGACGTTATTTCTGGAAAGAAGAAGAATATCATGTTCTGCAGAAATATTTTTTGGATTACTTTATAGCAATGCAAGAAGGACTTTTTTCATCAACTAAGCCCTTTTTGGAAGGGTTCTCTATGGTTTTGGGAGATTTGTACTTTCATAAGCTGAACTGCCTTTAGTCATTAAAAATTCCACAGAACTGGCAAATACAATCCTCATATATAGACTGATAACAGATATAGAAGCTAAAACCAGGATGTGGTACAAAGGCTTCTTAGTTGTGTAAAAGAAACCCTAAAAACCCTAGTTTTTATTGTATAGGTGAATACAATAATTTGAAATTTTCCATTGCTTAACAAGAATAAAAGGAGGGGATGTGAGGAAGGAAGCAGCCCTTTAGGATAAACTCCATACAAGGAACATGGTGGGCTTTACTGAGTGAAAGACCGAATCTAATTCCACTGAAAACATTTCTCCACATCAGCTGTAAATAACCTTGGTATTCATGGAACACAGCATGGTCGGTGTTCAAAAAAATCAGATTGCACAAAATCAGCACTGTCTAAGTGCAGCTCGTGCTCTTCTGGGTGGAGGTATCTGCACAATGCGGTGAGAAGTTTTTTTGGCTATTTTCCTTAAAAGTTTTGATGCAGAACAGTAGTCCTGGGCACTAACAGTCTAGAAACCTCTAGTCTTGCTGGTGACTGTGAGGAGATGGTTCAGTGTAAACCCCTGTCCTTAAAGCAGGGCTTAACAGAAGTATTGGGATAGTGTTATGATCTTAAAGACACGAGTATAACTTCTAATCATGATTTTCCATTGTCTTTGTCAGGGATGAGTTTTTATTGATGGAGATTTATTTCCATGTGTCTGGCTGTGTGAGCCATCCTCAGCTTGTCCTACACTTTCCAAACACTGCTCTGTAAGCCTTGCAAATGGTTGCTGGGTCAGTGCTGTATTTGCTTGCTGTGACTGGCAAATTATTTTTAAAAAAACCCTCCTTTGGGGGCATAGTGTGGTCGAACAAACCTTGTGTGGAGTGTTAAGTGCTTTGAGAAGGAGAGAGTTGAAGTGTGGAGCTTCTTGTTGTAAAGCTTTGCTTGGAGCTCGCACAAGACACTGCCACCAAGGTGTGCCTGCGTTAAGGACTATATGTGGCTTAAGATGTTGCTAGGTCTTACTAAAACTGAGCCTAGCTCTTCCTAACTAAGAGGCCATAGGAGTCATCCAGTGTTAGACAAAAAAAATGTTCCATGACACACGTGTCACAGCAGCTCTTTGTGCTGGACAGGGGCCCATTCCTGCCCAAATTACAGGTGTAGCTTGTGCCAGGGTGGAGAAGTTCCTGGAGCACGTTGCTCCTTATGTCCATGTCCAGAATTCAGTCTGTTTTAATTTGGTGTTTTTGAATGGTTTGTCACTGTGCCTCATCTCCAACACACTCATGGTTGAAAAAAGTGAGATTAAGGAACAGAATCCTAATAAGGACTGGAATAATGTTGAATGAAGTGGCCTCTTCTCCCTCTGAGGGAGAAGGGCCCAGACATCAGATGAAAACTGTTTCACACACACCTTTGCTGAAAAGGGCTTTAGAAACTGCAGCAAAGGGATAACTTGCTGTAAGTATTAGTAGTTACTGATGCGAATTGAAGCCTTTTGGATAAATCTTGTGAGTTAAACTGCTCAGGTTGGAAGAAGATCCTACTGACATCATGTAGGGCTCGGCACAGAAAGTCAGGAGACCTGTTATTTTTCCAAGTTAAATTACATTCTTGTGAAGGAGACATTCACATCGTGTTGTGTCTTGCCAGACATATGACTTTAAGCAAAGCAAAGCAAAAAAAAAATTGTTCAAGTGCTTTTAGGCTTTTTCAGATGGCCATGGCAGCAAAAGCTGGCTAGCTTAAGTAGGCTTGAAACCCGGTCTCCCCGGGACATAGTGCAATTGTGATATTCATCAGGAAAGAAGGGCTCATTATTTGCTCTTGGAAGTTTTACCATTTCGTTCTTCTGAACTTATAATTAAGGAAAATGTCACACAATAAGACATTAAAAAAAAAAAAAAAGAGATAATTAAGGAGATCTCAACCCTGAAATTGCTGTACTAAATCAGTCCCCTCATCTCTAGTTTAGGATCTGCCAGGGAGAACGTTGGGCTTTGCCTTGCTGCTTGAATTATGTCTGCTGGTGATGCAGGACACAGTGAAGGCTGCTGCTGCTGCTGCGAGTGCCCTTTGCCTTTAAGAACGTGCATCTGTCCCGCTGTTTTCTTCATCTATCCCATATTGAGCACTAGAATGTTCCTGGATTTGTCCTCATCCTAACCCTCAAGGTAAATGGTCTAAAACCACTTGAGCCCCTTTTGGCTCGTGTCGCGGTCTTGCTCCGAGCGCTCAGTTTTGCTGGCTGCCTTTCCGGGCAGCCTCAGCTCCGACCCAAGGCCCCTTTGGGAAGCGGACACCGGCTATTCCTGCGAATCTGGATGTAGCAAATAATCCTTTGCAAACTTACCCTCTGCCAAGTCCTTTGGAAGAGGACCCCTGCTTATGTGAGTAAAGTACACAGTCCTTCCGAGGTGCTGTAACGTGGCCCTTGGCTATTTGTAGGGCTTAAGGGCCTTGCAGAGGGAAGGAAAGAAGGGGAACTTGTACGTGTGGAACATGGGCCTGTTCCCCTTGGCTAAGAGCGGCTAGCCACGTTACCCAAGGCGCTGTGTCCCTTGCTCTTTAGTGCTAATAAATGCAAATAACATAAAGCCAGTATTGTGGGAAGTCACACAGGAGTGTCACATGGTGAGCAATACTGAATGGGAGGGAAAAATCAACCAAAAATGCAAAGCAGTGGGAATTACTAGGTCATCGGGTAACGTCCCCGTTGTGTTTGCAGGCATCTGCCGTGCATCTCGTGTTACCGTGTCGTTGATTTGCTACCAACGCCCAAACAAGTCCATGCAGCTCTGTGGAGATGCACCCCGTAACGCCCGGGGTCTTACCCTGGCCATGGCATATTCCAGAGATTGCTGCTACCTGGATGGTGCCCTCAACACGAGCCAGAGTCAAATTAATATAAAATGAAGAGCTAATGTGCACCGTTAATGTCTCAACAGCTAAAAACGTGGTGAGCAGCAGTAAAACAAGCCTGCATAGGCAGAAGTCATTTTAGATTGAATCCCAAAGGTTTCTCTTGCTGAAACTGTTTCGAGCTTGTCAGCTGAGTAAGGCTTACCTAACCACGCAGGTAGGGAGCCAGTTCCTGAGCAAAGTCTGTGCCTTGGGGCTTGCAGCTGTCATAAGCAGTGCTGATTTGGATAGATGTGTTTCATTTCATGCTCTCAGCCTGTTTGGATTTCACCCAGCTGAAAATCTCCCCCTCCTAGGCTTCTCTGATTCCATCTTAATTAGGAGGCTAATTTTAATCTTCCTTTTCCTAAGCAATTCCTGTTTGCTCAGTTGCTTAACAAGAGTATCTCTGAGCTGTTAACTCACTGTGGGCTCAAAACACTTTTTCACCCGGAATAGCTGAAGTCTCTGCCTTAGGGTGACACTTTTCCTCCCACTTTGAGTTTCTCATTTCTTTCCAACTCCTCTTTTTTTGTGTGCCTGTCCCTCAGCTCATGTTGACTGGGCCTCTACTGGCCCAGGGCACAGGAGAGTCAATAAATCACGGCCAGCAATGTACGCACAGGTCCTCTTATGTCTCCTTCCTCAGGTTGACCCCAATATTTTTCCTTGCTGGACTTTTATTAGCTCAACTAAATAAATCAACACAAAGCATCATAAAGTGTATCTAAACACAGCAAATTGGAAGTAGTCATAAGGAAAACTCACACAAAGACACAAAAGCAAACAAATTAACATTTTTGGAAGAGGACTTAAAACTGGATTGCCCTCGGGGGAGGCACCAAAGCGCCTGCTGCCCCAAGAGCATTGTTTCCGTTCAGCTTCTCCAGGAATATTGTCCTAAATTGTGCTGGCTGTAAAAATGCAGGGGGCTTCATTTGGGTCTTCCTCGATCTTCCTCTTCCTCTGGCCTGGTGGTGTGGGCTCGGAAGGGTATGGTCATCCTGTACCGTCTTGCACCAATATTTTGAGAGGTGTCGTGAATTATCTGAAGATATTTAGTTACCCTGAGAGAGAAATGCCAATTGAAAAATGCTAAGGAGCAAAAAAGCTTAAATTCAAATTCCAGGTGATTATTGGTAGCACCATTGTATTGTCATTAAATAAAGTATTTGAGTCAAAGGACAAGTGCAGTCTAGTAACAAATACAAGAATCTGACACTCCTTTACTGAGTCAGATAAATTATCTAATTTAATTAACTAACCATGACTTTGGATTTTTACTGATATCCTTAGCTCTAAAGATTCACAGATTTCTGCAATGGCAACAAAAATTGGAGTTAATACAAGTGAGATCCTACTGGGAAAGCTTCAGAAATAGTTAAGCCTGGAGAAAAATTCAGTGGGAGTGTGTATATATATATATATTTTAAGTTATTAAAACAAAACTAAGAAGATTATAATTTATGTATTATGTTACAGATTTTTGTTTGATATTTCTGCTGCTGTTCCAGCTTATGACCATTCGTTTTAAAGTAAAGATCCATCTACACGTTCTGATCTTAGACATTTGTATTCTCTATATAGAAAGATATATATTTCTTTATATAGATGTGTATACCTGCACGTATACATCACTTAAGGAGATGTGTGGTCTTAAGAGAAAAAAACATTACTACTTTCTATATTGATAGCATTAGAACATAGGGACCATATGCATGTTCTCAAATCTGGAACTAATCTTAAAGCTTTCATCATTTGTGATCATTAATATCACATGTAAGCATCATATTTATTCTAGAAGAATATGGAAAATAATAGGATTTAAGGCGCATATTTAAAACTATATGTAATAAGTGAATATTTTTTTCATGGTTCTAGTTTGTCATAAATTTCCATGTTTGTGTTTTTTAGGTAAGACTGTTAGGCCTTATTGAAGAGGTTTCCCTTCTAGAACTGGAAGGAAGAGGAGGCCTTCACAGTTAAGGTACTAGAATATGTTTCAGGAATATGAATGTGGTTCTTGGTTTTGTCATAACCTTCCTGTGTAAGCTGGTGAGAATTGTTCGGTCTCCTGTGCTAAATTCCTGAGTGGAAAAGTAGAAGGATAGGCCTTTATTGTCTCTCTTGTGTTGTCTGTGGGGCAAGGACACTGCCAGTTTCTACAGAATGTAACATTGCTGCACTGCAGTGTCCTTGGGAAACTCTGCTGATACAAACTGTAGTTATCTTAGTAGAAAGAAGGGTTTAGATTGCGAAGACTAAACATTAGGTGTGATTTATCTGTGTTAAATTTGCTCTTTTAAATGTTTTCATTTAAGTCAAAATTTTAGATGCCTGCAGAGCCTGCTGAGAGGGCATCTGCTCTCTCACGTGAGCTGTGTGCTTGGAGAAAAGGCTTTGCTGAACTAGTCCACATTTCCAGCGTTAGATGGACATGGTGTCTGACAGGGCGCTTTTGGTATCCTGACCTTGCCCAGGTATGTAGATGATTTCAGCCTCACCTTTCCGCCCTCTATAGGGCCTGGTTTTCTATAGGAGCACTAGGTGGCACACAAGCCCAGGCCTGAGCACCTCCCGGGGCTCTCCGGTGGCCACCATCACCTGGAGCCTCCACATTGCACCCTGGGCCTCTTGTCCCGTAGTTCTGCTTGCCACAAATCACACAATTGGTCCTAAGCCCAAGGGAGGCTGAAGCTCTTCCAGCTCTGGACTGTGCTGTGTGTGTGTGTAGCTGCCAGCTCTGGATGTATTGTGGTGACTTCCTACAAGCATGTTTAACTGCCTTTTTATTATAGATATTATTTTTTTCAGATTTTGAAAGGAGTAATCACTTGGGAGAGGCCACACGGTCTCCATGTGCAAGTTAAACAATCATTCTTATTTTTTCCTACTGTGCGAGGTAGACGGAGATCCCAGGTAGCTGCCCCTCTTTCAGAAAACACCTGGTGCAGCACCAAAATCTGTTCCTCCCACCTTTTAATGGATGTAGCCTGCAAAATATGGAGATGTGGTGGCCTGGGGGGTTGCTTGGTGCTCGATGCCCCTTGCTAGGAAGAGGGGAGATGTCTGTAGCCATCTGGGCTATGCAGGTGAGCTCCTGATGAGGAAGGATGACAGTGGGGGACACAGCCACGGTGCTGGAAGCTGTTGCTGTTACGGGTGGTGAGCTCTCTTCCTTTTGCACCTTCATGTGGTGTTAGTGGTTTTGAGGTAAACTATAAAAGAGATGGATGTCTGTTTCTACCAAGTAGGTCTTCCAGCCCTAAAGCTTGGGGTTTTTCCTTTTTTTTTTTTTTTTTTTTTTCCTTGGCTGAGACGTGTGTGTATTTGTTTTACACTGCTTTGTGCTGGGAACGGAGGTGCCAAGTGCAGATGCTCCGCTAGGAGAGCGAAGGATGAGGGCTGAGAACCTGCTTGGGGCAGGGCAGGGTTTGCCCTGGGCCAGCGCAGATGCACCTATGTAGGTACAGAGGGTGTCTGTGTGTGTGGGGCACATCTAGCCAGAGATGCATTTGCTGCTAAAAAGATTACACAAGAAACCTGTGCAAAGAGCTACTTGCTGTGTTTGTACCTCTAATATCCACTTCCTAAGAAATCCTAATACATAATTTCTGGAAGGACTGGCTCTGGATAAAATATCTTTAATAATGTTTGGAGCGTGCAGTCATCTGAATTTAAATATATATTATTACAAGCTAGTAAAGCTCGTGCTTCACATGGAGGCAGAGGCCTTGTGTGGCACTGATGCGTCCGGAGTGTCCCCATGTTACTGAAGTCCTATTTTTCCCAGGGGCTTTTTGCACTTGTTCAGGAAAGAGGTAGAATTAATGATGTCAGCTTGATGTCGTGGTCCTCCTTGTGGGTTCCTCCCACACCTTCATCCAATCGCTTCAGCCTGCAGATGAGAAAAGGGCACAGCTATTGCTCTAATTTGGGAAGGAAGTTCGATCCGAGGTGCGTGTGAGCTGGAAAGCATAATATAAGTCATTACATAACTCCAGGAAAACATCTAGGGGGAACTGTTCTGGCATCGTTAAAGCTGGCACCAAAGGAAAGCAGAGCACTTCGCTAGAACAAACAATTCCCTATTAAGAGACGGTGCAAACGCCACGGTGGCCTCCTTGAGATGCCTTTAATTGTACAGAGCTTTTACCACACTACTAAATTTACCAGCTACTCATGAGGAAAGGAGCAGTTAGGCTTTTCTACCTAATCTTTCCTTGCTAATGGCAGTCTGTGTCTGCTGCGAGACTAAGCATTTTTTTTCTGGCTCATTCTACCCATCTGGCAGATAAATAAATTGTGCTTTGTGTATATACATCTTAAAAAGCTGCTCGTAGCAGCTCTTCCTAGTGTGGAATTAGGGTGCTGTGTGGGGAGGAAGAGTTTAATTCTTGCTACTCAAGATATTCCTAAGTTTCAGCAAGGCTCTTGGTAAGGAGGGGTTCCCTTTGGCAAGAAGCATTTTCTGAGAAGCAAGGACCCTTAACCTGGACTTATATAAACAGGATTTATAAATAACGTGTGCTGAGTTTTAACTGTAGCAGTGGGGAGCATCCAAGATGTTAGAGTTACTGCTGTGTCTGTAAAAGCAGTTAAACCTCTGTTAGTTTTATGCTGAAGAATAAAAGCTTCAGAAATTATTTAGGGGAAGAGGGTCTAGATCCAAAATATATTTACAAGGTTGGAAAAGTGATTAAAACTTCCTTGAATTTCATCTTTGGTTTAAGTTTTAGATTAGAATGTTGTTTTAGATCCAGAAATAACAATCAGCATGTGACTGTAAAAAGTGTTCTCCCCAATTTGCAGTAGTCCTTTGTGGGACGGTTTTACATAATGAGTGGGTGAAGAGAGAAGAGAGCAGGTCATAAAACAAAGTTTCAGTAAAATAGGGTCAATGGAATAGAAATGAAATCCTGGAGTCTCAATCACTAAACTGCCTGAAATTCTTTTGCAGACCAGGAACGGGCTGAGGAAGAGTAAATCCAAGGCACTCGGCAAAAGTGATTTGCTTACAACAGTAAATACCTGAGCAGTTGTTATTATTTTGTGATCATTTTTGAACTAAATCAGCATAATCCTCTGATGAATCCTAATTAGCAGTGGTATCTCCATGCAGGAATATTGTGTTCTTGGCACAATGTATCAGTGTAAAACGGCACTTTTGTAGAAGTTCAGAAATATTTCATTGCCTTTTCCTTCTGCTACTGGTTTTAAACTCCCTATCAGTGAAGTGCTTTGAAGTCTGTATGTGGGGAAGCTTGAAATGCCATGAAACTGCAGGAGCTGGGAGGACAAGAACATGTATGAAGAAGCAGGTAGTAGCAAAGAGAACCTGGACCCAAATACACAAAGTGAAATTCAGGATGGGAATTGCAGAAATGTGTAGCTCAAAGGAAAATCATCTCAAGAAACAGGGAAATAAGGAATTATGCTGATAAACATATAACAATTCACAGGAGGCTTGTCACCCAACCCTGTAGCAACCCCAACTGCTTTTGAGGTCGCATCTGCCACATATCAAAGCAGGACGTGCTATTTTCAGTGCAGTTACACCGAGGCCGAGGCATTCCCTTCAGAGCAGGAGAGCTGGAAGAAGTGCAGAGGAGACCTGGAAGTGAGAAGATAAGTGGCTGCAAGGCTGGGTTCTGAGAGGAGCTTCAAAGATGGAAATATGCTGCATAACTTGGCTGAATGACAGCTCGCTGGGCAGCTAATTGCCCGCAGCCATGGGAAGGGCACGTGTGAGAAGACGGAGGAAGAGTTTCAGGTGCTTCCAAATATAGCAGGCAAGTTAAGGGAGGAAAAATGTTGCCTGGATAGAAGGAAGAGGATCCTGCAGCAGTGATGTCTCCCAGGCCACCAAGGGAGAAGTGCTGGAAAGAGTCACATGAGTGTGTTGGACACAAGGAATGGGCAGGAGGCACCCAGGGAGAGGAGAAGCAGGCACAGACGGGAGGCAGAGGATGGGGAGGAAGAGCAGCGTCCGGCTCGTCCTGTGGCACCAACTCACCCAGGAGCCATTTCAGAAACTGCAATATTCCAGATCTTCTGGAATGGTCTGCAATATTCCAGGTCTGCTTCTTGAGGATGTGTTACCTTCCCAATAGGCCCAGGGGAAAGAAAGCCCAAGATTTGAGAACAGAATTGATGGAGTGTGAATGGGAAAGGCTTACGGTTTGTTTTGGTGACCTTTACCATTGCTAGTATTGTAATAAATTCTGAGGAAATATACCTAGGAAATTGGTTGTTTGAAACAATTAATGGCCGGAGTGAGCAGTTTAGAGCCTTGAGGCAAAGCATAAGCCAAAGACGTAGCAAACTAATCATTAACCATAGAAATGATTTGTTTTCAACAGTATTATAAGAAAAGCAGTGTTTTAATGTCATGTCTGAGAATTATTACTGAGGCTTTAGAAATTTCTCCTGCTGAGGCTTAAATGTGTGTGTTTCGCGTGGCTTACACATACAGAGGAGAGAGAAGTTTCATCTCAAAACTTGAGTGGGACGTGTGAACAGAAAAATTGCATCCCCTGGGGGCAATGCAAGATCCTGTAGTGGTTTTAATGAATGTAGAAGGTGGCCACGTATGACCCGTTTCAGACCAGCCTTGAAGTGTACGATTCAAATAAAACGCACACCGAAATTTCTTTGACGTCAATGGGACTTGGAGAGGCCTTAAGTGATGCCTTAATTTCCAGCTGCTTGGTTCCATTTTGTTCTCTTTCTTTACTGATGCTAAGAAATTGCATTCTCGATTCTCTCGTTATCATAACGAAGTCCTCACTGGGATCTGCGTGACAGTAGAAATATATTCTAGGTGCTGGTTTTCTCACAGGCTTCATTCATGTGGCTCCTTCTCCAAATATTCTGACACAAGATGATACCCTCCTGCTTTGTCCTGTTTGTCCCTCATGCCAGTGCCCCATTATTAATAGTTATTAATAAAAGGGGTTCTGTTCTGTTTTGATAACAAAAATATTGTCTATGTGTCCATCTCTGATTATTTTTTCTTTAACTGTTTTACTTGGCAACACTGCAGGGAGAAGTCCTGTTGTGCTGATGGTAAATCCGGAGCTGTCTCCCTCAAGGGAATTTAATTGGGGGATTTCTGAGCTTAAAAAAAAAAGTGTCTTCACTGAAGACTAAGCTGCTACACTCATTTAGTTGTTAATAAAAGGGATTCTGATCTGTAACAATAACAATGATGAAGAAAATCTACTAAATCTACTAAAGAAAATGCATTTCATTTGAGAAGCCTGTGTCAATTCTCTTAGGTGAGGATATGCTAAGGGACAAGAAGGAGTCGGTGTGAAGCTGGAGGGTGTTTCGGGAATTGCACCATGACCCTCTGCTGTGTCCTCGGGCTCCCTTTCCTGACCGGAGCCTTGCAGCGTGCTCTCTTCCAGGCAGCAGATCTGTTTTTCTGGTCTTCCGGAATCTGATGGTCCAGTTTGCCCTGGGGAGGCTCTCAGCT